TCTGTCCTCAAGTAGTTTCTGAACAGTCTGAATCACTTGGTATCAGTGGTGGGTTTTCGTTTTATATCTCGCATTTATTCTAGTAAATTACTACAAATTACAGAGGTTTATAGCAGTCACGATCCGTTTAGGAAGACAACGAAACAATAAGAAATAGCGCGAATCTCCGTTAGTCCGTACCAGGACATCACAACAAAGTCAAACTGAAATAAAGATGTTAACTGTAGGTCTACATTGCTTTTAGTAAATTTGTGTGTTTATAACAGAGGAACAATGAAGAAAATGTGAGCACATCTTGATAAGAAATGCCAGGAAACCCCCAAATATGCCAGAATATGCCAGTTCATTATCTTATGCCAGTTCAAGTTAAAAAATGCCAGATTTGTGGGATATGGCAACCCTGAGTGAGAAGACAATAGATAGATAGACTTAATGCGCATGTGCGATCGATTCTTTTACCGTACATGCGCAGTTGTCAACATCCGCCCGCTACATTACAAGAAAAACTAATGCTTGCTGTTTGTGTTGAAATCTATAAATATCTAGAAAAGTAAGCGCATTTATTTCAGTTACATTAGTCAGTTCGTACATGTTTTTGGTTAACTTAAAACATGCGTGGACAACTCCTTAAATCCCGCAATGATAAATGTATAATTATGATTATATTGATGCGAATGCTTCGCTTCGTAATCATTTATCATCATGGATGCAGCTGTTATATACAGACAACAGTGGAATTGGTCATTTAGAAGCAGTAAATCAGGTGAAGGATTGTCTCGAAGGCTTGAAGATGGTTGAAGCAAAACCAGAATACCTTATAGAAACGGAACGTGATGCTTTTGGTAGGGATTTGTTTAAGACAGCGTTAAACCAACCTCAGTTTCCATGTGACAATTTTAACTTAGTATCCACAAATTTAGCGGAGGCTTTTATTCAGACACTTAATAGGCTGTTTAAACCTTATTTAGATGGGCCCTTATCCAATCCGTCTCCTGAATTGATTAAAAAGACATCATCTGCAGAATTACATAACATAGGGGCTGAGAGAAATCTTGCAAGGGTGGATTCAGTGATGCAAAAAGCTCCCAATGCCACCATGGGGTTCATTGATGCAAAGGTGAAGACTGCCCAAAACAAAACATTGCAATGGCTGCAGACATTTGATGACGACTTCCAAAAGTACCTGATAGACTTTGCAGTTCGTCGTGGAGCTAAGGTGAGGCAGCAGCAGTCTGAAGTACAGAAGAAATGTCAGCAGGAAAAATTAGAGAAGTTGGACAAGGCACTTAGGGATAAATGTGAGAGAGATCTGACAGCAGAATTTAAAAAATCAGGGTCCATGTTTGCAATACTTGAGATAGATTTGTTTAAAAGTGTAGCTGAGGAGTCAAAAGATATGTTAGGGAATTTTTTTAGTGACACTAATGTTCTGTCAGGTGTGTTACTGCGGCACATCTGGAATGATGGAGAAAAGGACTGTGTTTACTTCGAGATGATAAGAAATGTGGACACAAAGAAAAATCCTCTCAACACGTAAATGGAACTTTGTTCTTGGAAGGAGCACGAGGAACAAGCAGCAGAAACCTCCTTCACCTTGACAAAGAAACAGTTTCTAGCAGACTTCACCACTGGAGATTTGACATTTTGTTAAACTGAATGTCATTTATAAAACAAAGCAATAGAAATAAATTAAGCATTCGTATGTTAAAGTATTAAAAATGTCATGTAACACTCTCTTTTATCTTGCATTGTTTAATAATTTAATAAAGCACATTGTCTAGTGTTATTTCAGGACTGCGTCAGTGATGATACAGGCTTCTAAGGGTAGAAGTAAGGCTATCCTCCGAAAAACGGGCACAAAAGATGGCGGCCAATGCCGGTCAAAAACAGGGCCTCAGTCACGTGTCAGTTGTGCGCTTCCGTCGACTTAATTTGCGGTTTTCCGATTACCGCCACCACTAAGAGTCCCTACGTCCCTCATGCATGAGTGGCGTGGGGGACTCTTGCGTTGGTGGTAGTCGCAGGAAAACCGCAAATTAAGTCGTCGGAAGCGCGCAACTGACACGTGACTGAGGCTCTTTTAGGATGTTTTAGCGCCCATTATTCTGAGGATAGCCAGAAGTAAACTTCCAGACATGGACGGTGAAAAAAGATAAGTAGTTATAATTTCTTTATCTTATTTTTATGGTTTTTTAGTATGAAATTTATGTAATTTTTTCTTTATAGCAACTACTTACCTTCTTAACCTCAGTCAATGCACATACAAACATTCGTGGCTAATGCTTTTTTCTGATGTATTGTTGCACAATTATTGAAATTGTTTTTTTTTTTAAATGTATATTAAATTGTTTGTGTGTGTGTGTATATATATGTTATTTATAGTTACTTTTTTTTCTTTTTCAGGCATGCGTGATTACAGAACAGTCAGCTTTTAAACATGGACGAGTGAAAAAAAGTAAGTCGTACAAACATTTTGACGGATTCTTTTTTCTGATGTATTATTGCACGATTAATTAAAAAAAATGTTTTTTAAATGACTACTGCATTATTTGTATATGCATTATTTCACTAATTTTTTTTTTCCTTTTTTTTTAGACTTTTACCATGACGTAAACCTGTGAGAAAGATACAAACTTGTTTTAGTCATGTTACGAGAAGAGCGGCATTGGTGATTAATGTAGTTATAAACAGATTAACATATACATAGACAATAAAGATTAATGCACAGATATGTTGATGGCTTGTTGATTGTTCTGTTCAGACTCCACCATTCAACAACAAAAATATAAATTAGACACCATATTGAAAAATAACTGACCAGAGAGCATGACTTAAATTATCAAATCAAAATTATCATATGACTTACATGATTGTCCTATCAAGATGAGAATAAAAATGTGCTCTGGATTTATATAATATACCCACAGCAAATAGTTTTCCCATATAACAAAAACAAAAAAAAAACATAAAAATTGTTTTTATTAAAATATTTTTTCATGATAATTGGCGGCCATTTTTGAATAATAATTAGTCGATATGATGTAATACCTAAAAATTTCCAGTTATTCAGTTAGACATTTCTGCCCTGGACACAACAGTATCTGTTATCTTTGGTCTATTTTTAATACTTTAAAAGACAGTTATAAAGTTTACGAGAATATATCGACTGATGATTTTGATAAATGGCGGCCATTTTGAATAATTATTAGTCGATATTGCGTAACAACTAAAAATTTTATGTTTATTCGATTACAGCTTGTTGCCCTGAATCCAAAAATATATAGTTTCTAGGGTCTATTTTAAATACTTTATAAGTTAAAGCAGTTTTTAAACACTACTCTAAAACTTTCTGATTTCTCGGCAGCAAGTTTTGATTCACTTTTATATTTTCTTCTTTGTTAGCGCCGTTGTCCTCATGTATTGTTTTCCCCTTTCTTTGCGCTGTGTATGCCCATGCTGACCTTGATCCGCGCATCACGGATCCATCTGTGTAGATGATGGTATCTTCTGGGTCTGAATGCTGATCTATCAGAACTCTGGTAAGTGTAAAGTCAATCTAGCTCTTGATGGAGACATCATTCCATTTGTACCAAGTGCAAAGTTGTAAATTTCTATGGTCAAAGAATGTGTTCATAATAAAAAAGATTGTGCTGGCTGCATAGATCCATATTCTTTTACCATTTCCATTTCTATCACTGTTCTTAGCTGCATGTGGACCTAGAAACTGTTCGTATTCTCTTCTGTTATTTCCTACCCTCCCGTTGAAGTCACCTTTTACATATAGTATGCTGCTTCCCTCAACTTTCTCTATCTCATCAGACAGATCGTCAAAGAAATTATCTTTCTGCTCTTCTGTATAATTATCATTGCATGGTGCTTATATCTGTATATTTGTTTCAGCTTGTTCTCCTCTTTTAATTTTCAAAGTAATAATTTTATCTGAGCGATAATGTATGTCTAATATGTAGTTAAATATATCTGGATGCACCAGGAAACCCACTCCATTCTTCGATGTTTCTCCTCCAGCATATGTTAGGAGGTAGCCTCTGTGTATTTTCTTGTTACTATTCCCCTTGCGTCTTATGTCAGCTAGCCCCATTAACTTGATTTTCCTTTTTTCCATCATTTCAATAATCTCTTGTTTTATTTCCCAGGTCAGCGGTGTTAAGTGTTGCAATCTTGTATTTCGCTTTCCTGTCTCGTAGTCCCTTAACATTGCCATGGTCAGATCATGACCGGCTCTAGCTGACGGGCCGTGCTGCTGGCGTCATCGGGTCGGGCTAACGATGCTTTAACACAGTGGTTCTCAAACAAGAAATAAACTATTGTCGACAGTGGCGAGGAAAGACTACTTAAATTTTAACTTTTAAGTATTTACGTGCCTTCTTCAATAATTTCACAATTTTTAGCCGACTTTTCTTGATTATTGCCGCGACTCCCCTGATATACGATCACGGCACCCCAGGGTGATTCGGCACCCAGTTTGAGAACCGCTGCTTTAACGCATAATTAGCCCGACCTAGTGACGTCAGCAGCACGTCCCGTCAGCTAGAGCCGGTCATGGTCAGATACCGTTTGATCAGTCCGTTTATATCTCATTGTGATTTCTGTAGCGATAATAAATCCATTGCCGGCTTGCTAGGCCTGTCGCAACTTCACCAGAGCCCCGTTGGCCAGGACGTTTCGGGATGACCCAGGGTGGCCTTCATGGCTACCGTAGCGGTCCCGTGGCACGAGACCACACCATACTTCGCCCACACCTAGCAATCCCCTACTTTGTCCTGTTACCACCTCTCACGACGCAGACGTGGGGTTGGACTTTGAGAGGCAATTCGATCAATCTACAAACACATAAACTGCCTAAAAACCATTCAGGTAATTTGATAATAACTAAATCGATCAGAAATTTGATCGGGTAACGTAGATATCGAACGATCAATAATTTTTTGTGTGTGTCTATAATTACCTTAATTATATTTTTGTGTCAGAACCGGTGACAGGGGCCTGTCAAATATGCGTCACCACAGAGTGCATTCTTACAGGTAATATATTTATGTGTTAGTCCCGTCCCTGAAGAGGTTTAAATGGATTTCATTCTAGTCATTGTGTATATTTATTCACTGATATATTTCTCTAGAGATGCACATTGTGTATATTTATTCATTGATGTATTTCTCTAGAGTTGCACATTGTGTATATTTTTTCATTGATGTATTTTACTAGAGTTGCAGATTGTATATATTTAGTTATTTATTGATGTGTTTCACTAGAGTTGCACATTGTGTATATTTAGTTATTAATTGATGTGTTTCACTAGAGTTGCACATTGTATATATTTAGTTATTAATTGATGTGTTTCTCTAGAGTTGCACATTGTGTATATTTAGTTATTAATTGATGTGTTTCACTAGAGTTGCACATTGTGTGTATTTAGTTATTAATTGATGTATTTCTCTAGAGTTGCACATTCTACATATTTAGTTATTCATTGATAAATTTTACTAGAGTTGCATATTGTATATATTTATTTATTTATTTATTGGTGTACTTCACTAGAATTGCACATTGTTTATATTTAGCTTTTTAATTACGTGTGGTCACACTTGTCACTGCAGCCAGAAATACTGGGTGCACTTAACTCTCTTAGGAGGGTGAAAAGCGAAAATTAGTAGCTGCTGTCCCGTAATCACACAAGTCAATCTGCCAGTGGCAGAAACTGGAAACTGTAAGGAGGGTAGTGGGCTCCGTCGGAGTTGAAACAATGCCCGAGACGCACTATGCTGCTGACAAATATATCGGATGCGAAAACATGCAATGGTATGCACATGTGAGAAAATCTTACGGCTTATCAGAAGCAACACTACAGGGTTCAGTAGACCATAAGAGAAAAGGCTGACAAAGAAAGACATGGGTTCAGAACATGACTTACATGACAGGCCCTAAGTATGCATTTATGAAGTCCATCGCACCTGACCACCAGAAGCGGAGAGAGAGAACTTATCAGACAGAAAAGAAACTAGTGACTCAACGATACGCAGTGTTACGGAATGATGATGATGATGATGAATTATGTATTTCACGAAAAATGAACATTGTACGTCTTTGATTTCTCTATTATGTATTTTACTTTAGAAGAAAATGTGACTAACTTTAAAAATCTAGACTGGAAAAAACAAACGCCTCAAAAACGTATTAAAATGAAAACATAACTAAAACTGAAATGGAGACTGTTCAAAAGAAGACAAAAGTAGGATGGCACTAGCGATGCGTAGATTAAACAGCATTGGGAGCATGCGTCTTTCCTGTAGCAACATACGAACATAAGCCCTCGACTCTCCTATAATCATTTTGGCAGAAAATAGCAACTGTTGAGCTGTCAGACAAGACCACACCAAGACCTGAGCTTATTCTGCCCACTAGACCTACAACATCGAAAGGAAACCTCGCTTCAAGAGCAAAGTGTACAGAGCAAGCTATGAAGAAGAATGAAGGACCTGCAGCTGACATTGAAGTTCATAGAAGCAACCCACCTGATATTCTGACCAGAGTAAACAAACGCGAACGCAGACAAGAAATAATAAAAAGAGAACATAAATTATATTGAAAAATTCTTAGAATGACGTGGATAAAGATGACACAAAATACTGACATACTGACATATAAGATTTTAATATAAAGGGGTGCGGTTCTAGCACGGAATCGGTGACATTAGAAAAAAATCATAAAAATTTCAATTTAAAGACAGGACTCTCACATTTTCAGACATAAAAACCATATGATTACCCTATCATATAAAACAAACTTCTTTGGAATTCAATATATACATGTGAGATAATAATTTTTTAAGTGAAAATTGCTTTTTTTTTTTTTTTATATGCAAAATATAGATTCTACTTTGGACATATTTGTAGGGAAATGGTAGGGCCAAATTCCATCACAATTAAACAACACATACATAAATGGTGTGAGTAGAGCTATTTCTATGGAAAATAGTACACATTTAATATATTTTATGTAAAGCTACCCGACATTTGCCTTACAATTTTGAAATTACATAAACAATGAACACAATTATGAAATTTGAATTTCCATAGTTTACATCATAGCGAGTTATAATGTGAGCAAGCATGCAACATTTTTTTTTTTGCAAGATTGGCCAGTAAAAAGCATATGGTCTCGAAAAGTGAATTATTGTGGCCATATCTCGCGCAAAGGCGGATTTGAAAGTAAAGTAACGGAAGGCATGTCGACAGAAAACTGGCAGGGCCGACCACCATGATGGGTACAGGGTATGCGTGATCTCTTGGGTTGGAAGTGCACGAGACAGGAAATCTAGAGGATGACATACTTTTAAGACAGGAAGCAATGAGAGGTATGCTCTACAAACGACCTAAACTTTAACATTTTATACATTTGGTTATTAAAGTTTTAAAGTTCCATTTTCCTTGCATATCACGCTATACATATATTGTATATGGCATTTGGCACTCGATAGGTGATTTGGCTAACATTACGCCTGCCGCCTTTACTTTCCAGGACTTCACCTGGTAACACTTTAAGGCCGGGTCAACATTGAAGCAGGGGCCAATTTTGTAAAGAAAAAGTTACACCGTCAAGACCTGAACCCAAGATGTGTCGATCCGCAGGCAAGCGTCTAGCCGCTACACCACCTCAGCTCCCTATTTAATTAATATTTCCCTAAAGCTGAATACTTTTCACATGTATTAATATAATCGTGTATTTCACATTTTGGTATTTCAGCCGCCCGCATAATTAACAACATGAACATGTCGGCTGACCCCGGCGAAGACTTCAACGAGTTCGCCTGTGGTCGCTACATCAAAGAATCGGAATTCCCAGACGGACAATCATTTATGGCCAGCTACACTGCAGTCTACTACCAGAACATTATCTTTCTCAGGAGTAAGTTCCCTGTTAAAAAAAAAATTCTTTAAATGTGGTTTAGGGAACTAGAAACATTACAGAAGTAGAAGTATGTGATCCTTTTCCATGCCTTTCGGGCGTATTGGGCATATAGGGTTAGACATATATTTTATAGACCAACGGCACAATATGGATGATGTGGTCAGCATCACACTGGTCGCCTTTACTTCCCATGACTGCACCCGGTACCCTGTCAAGGCTGGGTTGACCTAACGGAAAAAGACATTTTTTAAAGAAAATTTGGATTCCCTAGGGAGCGAACCCACGACCTTGCGATCCGCAGGCAAACGTCTAGCTGCTACACAATGGGGACCCCTCAGAGGCAACATTGTAGAGGTAAATGATCTATTTCGGGCGAACGAAAGAAATCAATTCTTTTTTTTTAATGATACGTACCCCCCCCCCCCAAAAAAAAAAGTCTGGAGTTGGAAATGATTCCTCAAAGCCTTGTGAGATCGATGATGATGATGATAAACACTATAGATATTCTCCAATGACTTCATGCTCTAGTATTTCTCTGAATGCGGTCAGTTGTGTGTTTATATTTACAGACATTATACTTGAAAGATCTTCTCCAATGACTTCATGCACTAGTATTTCGTTAAATGCGGTCAGTTGTGTGTTGTATATTTACAGACATTATACTTGAAAGATCTTCTCCAATGACTTCATGCACTAGTATTTCGTTAAATGCGGTCAGTTGTGTGTTGTATATTTACAGACATTATACTTGAAAGATCTTATCCAGAGCACCCAGAGAATTTCCGCAGAATGAAAAAAGTTTTATCAGTCTTGTGTAGACGAAGGTAAGTCTAGAAACTAAAACCTCCAACATGTTGTTGATAGTCCATCACAAGTGAGGCTTGTCACTAGGAAGAAGAAGCAGCAGCAGGTTTGTGAGTGAGCAAATGGCTGATACCTTGTTTGGGGAATCCTGTCACCAGAAGTTCTTGTGCAGTATGGAAGTTTTATATGGGCAACACCATTCTCGGGACCCAGCTGATGATTTTATCTGGCGTTTCTCTGTTGAACTGCTGCTGCTGCTGAAGACAAGACAGTCTCACATGTCGCTGCTCCACGATAAAGATGTCAGCACCTGGATGGACTGTCTCAATATAATTGTCAATGCCATACGTTTTCTATGAGATCTTTTTTTGTGTGTGTGTCCTTGAAACATTTCATTTGTCCATTTTGGTTGCTGTTATATGGTACCAGAGCATTATTGCAAAACATACAACTGATTCAATCAATTACTCTTTACTGAAAGATTTGATTGGTTTCAGTCCTAGTCTTCTTTCATTTCCTTATTTGTAATCTGAACTTTTGGTTACTTCAGCAAATCAAATTATTGAACAAATATCACTAGCTTGCTCTAAATTGAAGAGAAAAAAAATCATTAACAGTTGAAACCAAAAATAGCTCTGTTTAATACAGTAGTTTTATCAACATTTTGTTATCAGAGCTAAACATAAACATTAACAAAAGACTAAGAAAACTCGAAACATAAATAAAATGTTAAAGGTGTATCCTAGATTTAACAAGAAGAGTCAAGATCAGAAGTGACGATATCAGGAAATATGTTAAAACATAACTAGTACTAAACTACATTAAAAAAACAACAGATAAAATGGTTCGGACATCTGTCAAAACTGTTACCAGACCGTGCATCACATAGAACTAAGTCATAATCGAAGCAAATGTAGAGATTGGCCACGCAAGCGATGGATAGATAAAATATCAAAGACCGTAAATACAGGACGAAAGAAGGTGAAGAATCCGTTACTTCAGCAGCCTTTTGAAGTTATGTCATCACGCTTACCTGAGTGTACTTTCCGTAAAAGAGTCTTGAAGTCAGTGGCTGGTCTAACATGCGGCCTACATGATCTGCCCGAAGTAACTAGGATTGTTAAAGAATTGTGTAGATTCTGGTTAGGGCAGTTCATTCGAACATAACAGCATCAAGGAGGTTACTTGTCAACTGATGTTTAGCAGCTTCCAGAGACAAACTGTGTGGAAGTGACTTAACAAATTGGCACATGCTGGTTTTGCATCCTTTCAGAAGTACTTCAAGGGAGACTGTTTTACATACTTTAAACACAGCTTTGTTCGAAGGCTTATGTTTCTTTTGTTCCAAACGTTAGACTATTGTCTGTCAAAGGCACTGGTGACCTTGGAGGTCCTGCCATTTATGTCTTGATCGGTTTCCCCACTGTTAAAACATGAGATAGATATACATACATAACAAACATACATACCAACAAACATAAAGCCTAATACACACACTAACATGCATAACTAACATACATATGTACATACATACATTTGTACATACATACACACACTAGCATGCATGCATACATAATACATAAAAAAATAAAAACATACACACACACACACATATACATACAAACATACACACACAAATATACATGTACGAAGATGGGCACAGGATATAAGTGACTCCTTGAGTATAAAAGTATATGAGGCCGGAGAACTGGCGAGAGACCGAGTTTCTTTCAGGCAGACTGTGATGAGAGCGACGTTCTGCAAAGGTCCTGCTACATGATGATGATGACACACACACATACATACATACATACATACATACATACATACATACATACATACATACATACATACATACATACATACATACATACATACATACATACATACATACATACATACATACATACATACATACATACATACATACATACATACATACATACATACATACATACATACATACATACATACATACATACATACATACATACATACATACATACATACATACATACATACATACATACATACATACATACATACATACATACATACATACATACATACATACATACATACATACATACATACATACATACATACATACATACATACATACATACATACATACATACATACATACATACATACATACATACATACATACATACATACATACATACATACATACATACATACATACATACATACATACATACATACATACATACATACATACATACATACATACATACATACATACATACATACATACATACATACATACATACATACATACATACATACATACATACATACATACATACATACATACATACATACATACATACATACATACATACATACATACATACATACATACATACATACATACATACATACATACATACATACATACCATACATACATACATACATACATACATACATACATACATACATACATACATACATACGTGCATAATACCTACATAATACCTACATACATACATACATACATACGTACATACATACATACATACATACATACATACATACATACATACATACATACATACATACATACATACATACATACATACATACATACGTACATACATACATACATACATACATACATACATACGTGCATAATACCTACATAATACCTACATACATACATACATACATACATACATACATACATACATACATACATACATACATACATACATACATACATACATACATACATACATACATACATACATACATACATACATACATACATACATACATACATACATACATACATACATACATACATACATACATACATACATACATACATACATACATACATACATACATACATACATACATACATACATACATACATACATACATACATACATACATACATACATACATACATACATACATACATACATACATACATACATACATACATACATACATACATACATACGTACATACATACATACATACATACATACGTACATACATACATACATACATACGTGCATAATACCTATATAATACCTACATACATACATATATACGCGCATACATGCAAACAATACTACACACATGCACACACATTAATAATTCATAATAAGCCCACAGATTTTCCTTGTTGTAACTTTCTGTCACGGCAGAAGAAAAAACAAAACAAAATAAAGGAAGAAACTCAGACTGATATATGTACACATTGAATCTCTCTCCCTTTCTCTCTTTCCCTCTCTCTCTCTCTCTCTCTCTCTCTCTCTCTCTGCCCCTTTCTATATATCTTTTTCTCACACACAGACACACACATACACCCTCAGAGACGTTGTCGCAGACTATACACCTGCGATTTGTGAGCTTTTTTTTTAGGTACACATACAGTCTGATAAAGACAGTCAATTACAGTCAACACAGACCAATGTATCTTCCGTGTGTGCATCTTTCAGACAAGCACACACACACACACACACACACACACACACACACACACACACACACAAAACACATACAGACCCACACAGCACTTTCACACAAATACTTACATACACACACTTACACACAGGCACACATAGTTACAGACAACACAAGTCTACTCTTGTGGTAACTTTGCTCGCCAGCCCAAATAGAAGCTGTGGGCCTAGAACCGTATTTCAACGACACAGAATTCACTGATGACTGGCCCACACTCAACCCGGACTGGAATGAGGCTAACTTTGACCTGAACGAGGTCATCGCCCGCTACATGGCAGTGGGTGTAGAGCCGATATTTTCTATCACAGTTAGCTACGATATGGAGGACAGTACGATTAACGTTTTAAAAGTAAGATTTGCTTGCTTGTTTGCTAGAGGTTCTGACAGTGGCAGAAGAGTGGTTGTCAAAAGTAGTATGTATGCTTTATCATTCAGTCACTTTTATTCCCAATTCGGTTCTGGGAACCTGTTTTGACGTGCTCCCAACATGCATGTCGTAGAAGGCTACATATTCACTAGCCAACACATTTTCCTTTTGATTTTGACATGTTGATTTTAAATATAATGAAATTCACCTATTCTTTGTAGTGTTTTTTTTTTTTGTAATGATACATTTACTTTACAGTCGTACCAACAACAACAAATGTATGTTTTTTTTTATTTTTAATTCTCTGGTGTGAACCGTTAGTGTTCCCAACAAAATGAACACCAACTATACACTCTCTGTCCTTCCATCCTTCAGCTGCCCATATTTTCACCTAGGACCTGTCCTTTTGCAGCAAATGTCTTAAGGTGTCCATGCTGACAGTTTCAGTAAAACTCATTGGTTGTACAAAGGACGCAGTCCTTCTTTCCCACGCCTCTCCGCACTCTTTTGTATGACTGCGGGGTCCAAAGGTACTATAATTTCAAATTCACGCAACTAATAAATGGAATAATCATAATCGTCATCCTCTTCATCCTCATCATTATCAACATCATTGTCATCATCACTCTCATAGTGACCATACTTACTTACATAGTGGCTCCTCTTCTACGTGGCAGCGTAGAGGTTTGCCAGAGAGATCGCAGACGTCTCTAGCAGCAGTTTTCTTGCTGGCCATGTTTCATTCCAGTCCTCTGGCAGTTAGGGACTGTCGGATGTTGTCTTTTCAGCGCCTCCTGGGTTGTCCTAGAGGTCCGGTTCCCTGGTTCTTGCCTCCGATGTCTCTCATTGTGGTCAATTTTCTCCCTTTCTGCATACATGTCCAAACTAACGTAACTGTGACTAATCCGCTTGGGTTTGTAAGAATTGGGTATCAAGATCTTGACGTATTATCTGAAGGCGGACTTTGTACCTTCTTCTCACTTGGACCACCTTTCTCAGATATCTTATTTCTGAGGCCTGAAGCTGGCTTCTGTGAGCTGTTGTCATTGCCCATAACATCAATAGGTCAGGACTGGTACATAGGTAGAGCAGAAAATAGTAATTTTCGTCCTCTTGCCAATTTCTCTTTTGAAGGAAACCTTTATTTTATGACTTGAAAAAGTCTCCTAGCAGCTGCTTTTCGTGTAGCCAGCTTAGTCCAAGGTATTTGAACTGGCTGACCTATTCCAATGCATAATGTCCTATCATGATCTGTGGTTTCTTCTCCTCTCTTCAGATCACCATGGCTTTAGTTTTGGACTCACTGATGGTCATCCTTTTCCTCTCAAGCTCTTCTTTCCAGACAAGTAAGTTGGAGTGAAGGTGGGCCTCAGTTCGTGTGTTACGTTTGTCAGTGCCCCACCGTCGATTATTGGTTCGTCAATTCCTGGGTTTCCTATGTCAGTGCCCGACTGTCCATTCTCTGCCTTTGTTCATGTGGTGTCCATTACAGTGCCAACGTCTTTTTCAAATTTTTGCTCATGCAAACGGTTGTCAGTGCATTATTTTTATGTGCTTGCTCGTCTGGAATCAGTTCCATTTTATATTTATCAATTCCCTCAGGTATGTGTTTTAGAACGCGTTTAACTTCAGTTCCGTGATTATGTTGGGTCTCGTGGGCATATGTTTAAACAGAAATAATATAATAATTAGTATTAGGCGAAGTAAATACTTATGAGTGTGTGTGTAAGTATATATATATATATATATATATATATATATATATATATATATATATATATATATATATATATATATATATATACATATAGGAACTCAGTGACATGTAATGTTTATGTGTGTATATTGTTAATATAGATTTAAAACTATGTAATTTACACTTTTTAAATTTTGATCAAGCTTTTTAAAGCTACACTTGAGTTTTCAGTGCGCTTGCTTAAGTCTTTTTGTACCTCTTCTTGACAAATGGACGGTGTCAATGGGAATTTGCCGCCATGTATCCTAGACACTAGTGACATTCTCCATAACATGTGAGGAAGTGTTGAGTGTTGGGCTAACAACATATATTACATCATTTTGAACATTTCAGAAAAACGCATAATGCACATCTTCAGCAGATGCCAGATACAGTTCGATTTTATGTCTATCTTGCCTTTCCTCTGAGCATCCCGTGGTCACTCCTAGCTGTACCATTCTATCCACCAGACTACCTAGTCACTTCTAGCTGTACCATTCTGTCCACCAGATCAGCTGGTCACTCCCAGCTGTACGATTCTCTCCATCAGATCCCTTGGTCACTCCTAGCTGTACCATTCTCTTCACCAGATCCCCTGGTCACTCCCAGCTGTACCATTCTCTCCACCAGATCCCCCGGTCACTCCCAGCTGTACCATTCTCTCCACCAGATCCCCTGGTCACTCCTAGCTGTACCATTCTCTCCACCATATCCCCTGGTCACTCCTAGCTGTACCATTCTCTCCACCAGATCCCCTAGTCACTCCTAGCTGTACCATTCTCTCCACCAGATCCCCTAGTCACGCCCAGCTGTACCATTCTCTCCACCAGATCCCCGGGTCTCTCCTAGCTGTACCATTCTCTCCACCAGATCCCCGGGTCACTCCTAGCTGTACCATTCTCTCCACCAGATCCCCTGGCCACTCCTATCTGTACCATTCTCTCCACCAGATCCTCGGGTCACTCCCAGCTGTACCATTCTCTCCACCAGATCCCCGGGTCACTCCTAGCTGTACCATTCTCTCCACCAGAACCCCTAGTCACACTTGGTTGTTCGTTCAATTATAAACTTTAGACTTGTTCCAGGCCTTAGCTTTGTGTGGAAATTTGTTTTACTGATTCGATATTTGTGCAATGTGTTGATTCCTCGCCTATGCTACGGATGCGCCCAGTCTTCCTGAGAGAACGATTTTAATTATTCTTCTTTTTTCTAAATTCTTGTTTAGGGTGGTGGATTTATACTCCCTTCTCGCTCTTACAACGAGGCCTGGGAACCTCAAGCACAGATTATGGTAATCTTCTTCTTTCTTTGTCTCGTTCACTCCGATGGAAGATTCTGTTGTTTGTCCACTTCTTGACTTTAGTCTTGGTTCAGAGCTTGAGTTTAGAGTGCGCATCCATGTTACATATATGCCTTACATATATGCGGATTGTTGGTTCCTCGTCTCCTAGGCATATGTACTCCAATTTTAAAGGAAACTCATTATTAGTCACCTCTTACGACCTGCTTGTTGGGCAAAGGCTTTATTCTCTTCCACTTAAAATGGGACACCGGAAGCCAAATAGAGATTATGGTAATCTGAATACTTTCAATCTTTTTTCAGCTCTCTGAAGACCAACTAGGAATGACTTAAGAGGCTTTGAGCAAAGAACGGAATAATGCGGTTATCATGGCATACGAGAAATACCTAGCCGAAACAGCAATTGCTCTCAAGGTCAGCAGGGAAGTTGCTGAGATGGACGCCAAGGAGGTAGTAGATTTGGAGATAGTTAGCTAGTGTGAAAAAAATTATTAACTGTGAAGTCTTTTTGAATATAATACAAGCTGTACTCGGCCATGCGTTGCCGTGGCTTAGTTTTTATTAAATGGAAACGAAAAAAAAAAAATAAAAACGTGTTAAATATGGGTAACGTCGCGATCATTGTCATAGATGACCCCCCCCCCCCCCCCCCCCCACCCCCCACCAAATCTACTCTCTTCCTAATGGGAGATTCTTGCAACAGATAATTGTTTATTAATATTAGTGGTTTTATAAATGGTATTATTAGGACTTTAAAAAAAAATGGTTTTTTGGGTATCACTTGCTTCAGCTGTTTGTATGTTTTTTTTTTTTTTTTTTAGAGATGGAAGTGAAGCTTACTATTGTACTTGTAAATAACTAAGTTGTTAAAAAAAAAAAAAGTGGGAATAGGTAGCGTTAGTAAAAAAAATAAACCAATTAGGAAATGAAAACTTTAAAATCACGTGATTAGCTTTTTAAGCTAACAATTTCTGTCATCAACCCCTCCCCTTCCTCATCCACCGACAGTTGTTCTTTCACTCTCTGAAGGATCTGAAGGTCATCACCCGACGATATTTTTTGTAACTTACCTTGACATCTCTGTCCATCTGGACTAAAATGGGGAGCAGGAATTTAATGAGAAGTAAATGCGGCCATTGTAATATTTACCAGACCATCAGTACAACTACTACCACCACCACAGTAACTAAACCATTGTCACTACTATCTGTTTTACGATCGGTGTAGACACTGGATGGTACGCAGGAGGATTTGGCGCCACATAGCTAGTGCTGTCGCCATGGACTCGTTAGGTTAGGATGTGTAATTTCCCCCCCCCCCCCCGAGCTGTCTTAGTTAACAGTTTGTTTTACCTTACCGCCGACGCCCCCCTCCCCCACTCCTTAATTAGCCGACTACTCTTACTCTCATCGAAGTTGTGGGGGGGGGGGCGTGAGATGCAGGGAAAACTGAGAAAAAACACCATAATTAGGAAATGGGAAAATTTGATGATCAACTGGTTCACCCGCAAACCTGCAGTTTCTCAAAAATGTATGGTCATGTGATCACTACGTCACTTCGTCTGTTTTTATATTCCGACTACTTCTATCTCTCCCTCTCCGAAGGGATTTAAAATTCATTACGTGACGAAATTTATTGTGATTGACCTTGGCATCCGTGTCCTGTCAGACTAAAATTGGTAATAGAAATGGTAATGAGACGTAAATGCGACATGTTTTCTATTTACCACAACATCCATCAAGTGCCAGTACTACTACTACTACTACCACCACAACAACAAGTGAAAAAATGCCACTGCTGTCTGTTTTAACTCCTTTCTAGAAAGAAATACTAAACTAACAATTTGTAATTCTAATGTCAAATCCGTACTATTGTATGGGGCGGAACCATGGAAAACAACCAAGGCAGTAACTAAAAAATTACAGACATTTATTAACTGGTGCCTGGGCAGAATAGAGGGAATTGGGGAGGATAAAGGGAGAGCTCCAAGCATTGGCGAAGGATAGAACGACTTGGCGTGAGTTAGTTGAAGGTCTATGCTCCATTGGGGGATAGAAAAGCAGAAGAAAAAGA